ATATATGAATTTCCTGAGTGTAGACTCCAGTGGGAAGAAACCCCTTGCAGTGACTTGTACTGCAGAGGGAGGGGTTTCCCAGAAGTTCGGCACAGTGTGAAAGGTTTGTGCAAAAATGAACATTGAACAACCACAAGACTGCACGTCAACTGTTCAACTTTGAATTGAGTATGTGGAAGTCTTTACTGATAAAAAGACAAATACATAAAAACTGAAACCAGCTTTTAAATATTTCAACGTATGATTTCATTTGAAGTTTATTAAACAGATTTGATAGTGAGCTTAAAATAGTTGCAAATAAGAAAAAAGCGTGAGCAAAATAAAAATAAAGCACAGAATGGCTCATATTGCCATAAGAAGCCCTTCATAAAACATAAACAATAAAACAAGCAAAGCGATGGGGGTTGGGGTCCATTTGCATCACAAGACCTTTGTATCAAGTTGCATTGAGTCGTTTTCGAATGGCAAACAGCTCCCTCAGCAAGTTCATTAACGCCCTCGCTTACAAACTCTTGGAGCTCTGCCACGACACGCACGTTGCTTGTGATGAGCAAATTACACCCTTGTATTCTCTCAGAAGGAGACACTTAWGCACTTGCAGGAAGAGCACTAGAATCAAGAAATCGCGGGCCTGTTGCTCCGAAAGCTTCGAGCACTCCACTGTATCCTAGCAGCTCTTCTTCATCTGTGCAGCAGAGGCATTATTTTCTTCTCTTTTCAGCCTGATACGTTCCCCTTTTTTCACCTCTTGGAACTACTTTCCCCCCTTTTTTTTCTTTATCTGTCTCTTTCTGCTGCACGATTCGCTCGCACTCCACAATTAGCACTGAGCCTTCCGTGCAGTGAGAGAGGAAAAGGCCCAGCTCTCTCATTACTCATGCCAAAGGTTTTAACAAAGCAGCGTGCTTTGATTTCCAGCCGACGTAATTGTTACCAGATGCAGTTTGAGCATCTCGCCTCGCTCCTCTCGCTTTACAGTGGCGGTTTTGGACGGCGGCCAGAGGGGGAGTGAGCATATCGCTAGTCAAAAGCTAATCTCATTAAAGAGAGAGCTTTGTGCCGCCTTGTATCTCTCTGTACACCAACTCCCCCAACATACAGGAACACACACACACACACACACACAATCGCAGCTTGCTCCCGTGGTCTGAAACAACTGGAGGTCTCACTCTCCCAGCTTGTTTAGACTGCAGAGGAGGAGGCAACATGTCTTCATGTACTTGTTTCGAGCATTACTAGGGATCAGCCTTTATTATGATTGCAAAAATCACCAAAAAAACAAACAAACCGCTGAATCATTTTATTTGTAATCTGCTTTTGGCTGCAAATTAAAGTTGCTAATAAGTTCAAATGTATTATTCTTTATCTCATGTAGTAACCAACGGCAGCAGCCACTCCCCAACAGCACTCAACGGAGCCCCATCTCCTCCTAATGGCTACAGCAACGGCCCCAGTTCGTCTTCATCCTCTTCTCTGGCCAACCAGCAGCTTCCGCCGGCCTGCGGCGCCCGACAGCTCAGCAAGCTCAAGCGTTTCCTCACAACCTTACAACAGTTTGGAAACGACATCTCACCTGAAATCGGCGAACGGGTTCGCACGTTAGTGCTGGGGCTTGTGGTAAGTATTCACCGTATATGTGATGAGCAAAACAGTCTCACAGTATAAGTGTACCTGCAGGATTTGTCAAGGTGCTGGTGTATAATTCCTGAAAGAYTGGATGGAATCAAGGAATCAACATCAATTTACTTGTCAGTCAAAACAAGTAGGGTTTGTTTACAGATCCACACCCAAGTGRAAAACTCTTACTTTGAAATTGTGAGGTTTTCTCACTACAAATGGTTAAATCAGTCATAAGAAGGAGGAAGTTGGAACGTAGGTTCCCTATGTTACCATGAAAACCAGTGTTTTCATTAAAGCTAATTAAAACCTACACTTGAGTTTGACAACGTGTATTTCTAACCTTACAAAAAAAAACTTGACATGTTATTTTAGTAAAGTGTTAAAAAAGGAGCTAACTCAAACACAGTTTAAACAATGCTGCACAAATGAAACCTGCAAACAAAACTCACGAATCCAGCAGAGATTAGATAAAACAGATGTGTTCRGCAGCTTAGCTGACATGGGTATATCAAGGCTGTGATCAGAGAAAATTTGAGCCTAATGAGCAGGGGAACGCAGGAACGGTGATTGAATGTTGTGCAGAAAAGACGGAGAGGAGATGGGGTGGGGGGGTGTTTTTTTTAATTAGTCACACAGAGGATAACCTGCTTTTGGCTTCACTATGTTTATATTTCTCACCGTCTACATATGTACATCTCTCCTGTGTCCTTTTGGCTTACACCCCACACACACACACACATACACACAAATCCTTTCTTCTTTTTCTGTCTCTCTGCCCTCCCCCCCTCCCCCTGCCGCCTTATTGAAAAGAGTGACACTGTTAATTAGCTGGTTGTGTGCAGGGGAGAAGGAGAGACGGAGACTCAGGAGGTTTCACTAGCTGTCAAGAAGAGCTGCGATGCAATCTGGGCGAACAGATGTAAGACTGAATGTAACAAAATTCAGGTCTGGGAAATAACACAGAGAGAGCGAGAGGAAAAAAAATAATATCTTCTACAATTTTTTTAATGCTCTCTGTCCCCCTCCTTTCTCTTGTTTGTCAGTCACGTTGCCCTCTTGAGTGTGCGCGTTCAGCTCCTTCACACTTGTTTTCACTCTTTCATGCCTCGTGTTGGAAAGTATAAATAGCCTCAATGCTAACATGCTAGTCATTAATAGGAAAAAAAAGGAGAAGAGATTGAAAGTTTTCAGATTTGTATGTTAGATAAATAGTGTGCATCTCTTACACTGAGTTGTGTAGATATAATGCACGTTCCACTCATAATTCTAATGTTTAACAACTCAAAACCRTTGGCCTCCCTTTGTTGAGATCTGAAGCCAGAAGGACCTGGTTTACAGGAGCTGCCATGTAGTATTTTCGTATTTGTTCTTTGCAGTGTCTCGTCTCGGCTTTGTTTTTTATATCTACTGAGGCTGAACCCTTTTAATGCACTCTTTTTAAGCTTTTTAAAAACTTAAAGCTTTTTTTTATTATTTTCAGGTCGATGCAACATCATTCCTTCAAAAGTTATTATGAATTTTGAGTCGGTTTCACTTTCTGTCAGTCTGTGTTGTGTCGAAAAATGTACCCCTACCATTTGAGGTTCTAGTTGTCACAGACAGTGGTGTTTTCCTCAAATCATCAGCTGACTGACGAATTTGTCAAAAACTGAGATTAAGAAATGTTGTGATGGTGCAGAGGGATTTATTTTAATTCAAGCACAACGTCCTCCACAAATAAAACTTTTATTGGACCTAAATACCTCAGAACAGAAATTAACCCAAAATTGAATTGTTAGTATCCACTAAATCATGTCGATAGTTTAGTTCAGTTCAAGTTTATTTCAAACTTTTACAACAAAGCAAAAACATTATAACAAATACAGAAATTCATGCAAAAAGTAAATATGTTTGAAACAGAATGGGATGAATTCCTGTGTGGCTCCTCCCCCAGTTTACCCACCAGGACACCRMTGGGTCTTGGAGGGGAGACGATGTCTCCCTCTTGGTTTGGAGGYGATRGACCRGAYTTACAGCCACCTGGGGGTGACCTGTGTGACTGAGTCTGGCGTACCTCCTCCGGGAGACATCGGGCGGGAGCCTCTAGCTCGGCCTCCAGCTACCTTCCTTCCAGTGGTCGCTCCCTTCTCGAACCCCCGGCCTCCGGGTCAGCGTAGTAGCTCAGGATGCCTCCAGACGCCGGTCACCACTGTTCCTGGTAGCCGCTCCCTCATAGGATGTGCTGGATAGTGCCCCCGTAGGATTGTGACTCCTCTTCTTGTCCCGCTCTCCTCTCTGCTGAGGGTCAAGAGGGGGCTCTGCTGGTCTGATTCCAACTCTGGCGGTGATTGGTGTGGTTGGGTCTTTTGACAGGGAGGAAGTAAAACATTATTTATTTCCCCCCTTCTCCAAAATGTACTGAAAATGATAAATTCTTCTGTTTCCTTATTCTAAAACACACATTTTACAACCCAGATTGTATTTTAAAATTTTATGCTGTTTTTCTGTCATCAGGAACCAAAAGTGAATGTTTGCAGATGATTACTGAAGGAATACAGCTTAAAGAGAGAAAAGATAAAGTACCAGTTTTTAAATTTGTGAGACTGGAACTCACTTTAAAGCCAGCAGCAAACAACATTTTATTAAACTTTTGCATGTGTGTCTTTGTTTTGTGAGGCTCTTTTTCGCCATGACCTGCCCTCATATGTTTCACATTACAAAAGCCAAAACACTCACTCCGAGCCAGGATACAGCTTAGCTTCCAATAAGTAATATTATCACTTAATGCCTTCCACATGAATTCATGTGTTTTCKCTCTGTTCCTTTCTTCTCCTCCAGAATTCCACGCTAACCATCGAGGAATTTCACTCCAAGCTCCAAGAAGCCACCAACTTCCCTCTGCGACCTTTCGTCGTTCCCTTTTTGAAGGTAGATGTCCTCTAATTTACAATTATAAGAGGGTTTTTTTTGTTGTTGTTTGCAATCTGGAAAGCATTTAGCCAGTTCAGATCCAGATGTTCCCACTTATGTCCATATTTCTCCTCCTCTTTTACCTACGTTTTATCCTTTCCTCTCACAACAACAGAGGTTTGTTTCCTTTTTTATTTCTTTACTTCCTTTCAGGCTTGTTTTGCCGTTGATTTTACTTCCCCATAAAGATACATTTTCAGCAAGCACATCCCAATTTTCAGCCAATAGTGTGGTGTTTTACTTGAGAAAAGGTGTACTCTCTTCTTTTTTTCTTTTTTTTTTTTTTTTTGCCTGACCCCTTTTTTTGACTCGTTTTTATCAGAACAGCGTGCCTCTCCTCTCTGTTGGAGAAATGGTATTTCTTGTGTTTATGTCTACAAGTGGCCCTCATGCTTGTCTGCAGTTTGCGGCACCAGAGGCGAGACTGGTGGTGTTGCTGGGATTTGTTTTGGTAGTCAAAGATGACGAATGGGTCTGCACGGGAGGGGGTTGGGGGCGTTGGTTGTATTGAGAGATGCACAGAGCAGTCGCAGTTCACATGTTGTGTTGGAGTCTGAGGGAGATCAATATCTGCGTATTACTGAGAGATAAAAAACAGAGAGGCGAAACGTTCAATATAGAGCCCGCTTGTTCTATAAAGGGCTGTTTTCCCCCTTTTTCCTCTTAAAAATTCATCTTTATTGGTTCATTGTCCCCGTTATGTTTTTTCCTAACTTCTTTAATTGTCTATCTGTTGTGTCAGGGAGGTCGATGTTAATAACAAGAACATAAGAACATAAGGCTTCTTAAATGTGTATTATTTGCAGATTACTACATTTTTCTGTTTAGTAGAACGATGATGGGGATGATGCAAACTGAATTTGTTAAAATACTGTACAAACTTGRTTTAAACTAAATAAATTATCATTAAATTTGAATAAAACTAATTATATGATATTCAGTAATAGAAACAGAGCTATTGATTTTCCTTTTCAAGTCGATGATGTTGAGATCTGTAGAGTCAATGAGGTGAAGTTTTTGCATGTTATGATTGATGAAARGCTGACATGGAAATCCCCCATAAATCACTTAAGAACAAAAATAGCCAAATCCATTGCAGTATTGTATAAAGTAAGGGACTTCTTTAATGACAAAGCTTTGTTTATGTTGTATAATGCAAAAATGTTTCCACACTTGATTTACTGTGCTGAAGTCTGGGGGAAAGCATGTAAAACAATTACAAATCCCATCTTYATTTTACAGAAAAGAGATGTAAGAATTATCACCAGAAAACATTACAGTCACCCATCAAACACGATTTTGTCAGTTGAAATTATTGAAATTTTATTAGTTGGTTGATCAAAATATTTTGCAGGTTATGTATAAAGCTCATAAAAATGTATTACCTCTAAATATTCAATGAAATTTTGTTAAGATAGTAAGTAATTATAACCTTAAGGGTATAGAGATGTTTGTAAAGCCCAAAATTCGAACAAATTTGAAAGACAGATGTACTTCAGTCCAAGGAATAAGATTGTGGAACAGTCTGGAAAGTGATTATAAAAATGCTGGCTCAATAAATTTATTTAAGAGAATTATAAAAGTTAGAGGGCGGCACGGTGGCTCACTTGGTAGAGCTGATGCCTCTCAGCAAGAAGGTCACCGGTTCAAATCCAGGTCCGGGGACCTTTCTGGGTAGAGTTTGCATGTTCTCTCCGTGCGTGCGTGGGTTCTCTCCGGGCACTCCGGCTTCCTCCCACAGACCAAAAACATGACTGTTAGGTTAATTGATAACTCTAAATTGTCCCTAGGTGTGAGTGAGAGAGTGAATGGTTGTTTGTCTAGTTTGTCTCTATGTGTGGCCCTGCGATAGACTTGCAACCTGTCCAGGGTTTACCCCACCCCTTGCACTGTGACTGCTGGATATGGGCACCAGTGACCCACGCGACCCTGAAAAGGAAGAAGCGTGTACAGAAAATGGATGGATGGATGGATATAAAAGTTAGATTGTTGAAGAAATATGAATTTATATAATGTCCATTCATAAGAACCGTTGTTCGAGGAGTTAAAGTTTTTGTTATGTTTTGTTATTTGAAGACTATTATTGTTTCAATTTATTTATTTTAAAAAAGGGGCAGATATCAATACGATTTTTGTCTTCTTTCTGCTACCTTTCATTTTATTTGTGTTGTATTATTATTTGTTGTATGTATAGCATTTGTTTTGTTTTAAATGAAATGAATAATTTTTTAATAAAATAATAAAATAAATATCTTCTTCTTCCACACTGCCTGTGTTTGCAGATGTGTTCTTGTGCAAACTGGCATTTTGATAAGCTCATTTTGTCCTTTAAATCCATCATGGTTCCCAGCGATCGAATGGGTTCCATCAGAACTGCCGTTACTTCCTATTAATGGTGCAAACAGTCCTTGTTAGCCTACATTTTCACCTTTTTGTACTTTTCCTTCTCACCAATCACCTTTTGTTCATTCGCTCTCCTTTTGTGACCTGACTTTACTGTTTTCCATCCTTCTATCCATCCTCCAAATCCCTTCTCCTCTCCTTGCCAGATGGTGAGTGCATCACTGGGATGGTTGTGGATTCAAAGCTGCAACTTCTCTCTCTTTTTTTCTTCTCTGCATTTCTCATCCCCCCCATTCTAATTTTAGTGTCTTGCCACTGTGGGACCTTTAATGCGAGCTGCCATATGGTATCAGAGAGCAGTTGGAGGTGTGGGGGAGCTTTTATAGGTGCGTCGAAGCTCAGCTGCAACAATGCACGTCAGGGCTCATGGTTTTTCATTACACTAATGTTATACCACGTCGAGCCCTCCAACTAAACACCCCCCCATCCGTTCCCCTCTTGAGCTCCTTTTTGCCTTCTCTTAACACTAAAACCACAAATTGGTTTGGAGTCTTTGACTGGAAGGAGGCAATCAGAAACCACACAATGCYGGTGACGTTGACGTGCTAGCTGGATGCCCGCCACAGATTTGCCATCATTTYATTCTGTTTTCAGGTTAAAGTTGAGCGTTTGCCAGCAAAGTGCTCAGCTACAGTTTGTGAGTGAAGCTCTCTGAGACAAACATTTGGTGTTGAGAACGAGCYGTGAATGGAAATAATGTTAAAAAGGGATTATAAATACATATGAAACTAACTCGTTATACTTCTAGTGACCAGTTGCACAAAAACAGGCAGGGGATTGAAGTGCAGCAGATTTTAAATTGTTTRTTGACCATATTTGACAAAATGATAACAACAGTTATCAAACAATAAATCATCTTGAGCCTGTTTTTACTCTTGATACTTAAAACTATTTAAAAATATTCTCTTTTGTTTGAGTTTTTATGTTAGTCCTGTGGCGAGCCAACTATACAGAAGCAAATCACTTCCATTAATCATGAATAAAACAACTTAGTCTCTTCAGCAGCCTGYTTTTCTTGACTCAGGCTTTTTCCTAATGCCTCCACATCTCACTGGCAATTAGGATGACCTCTAATTAATAAAAGATAAGTTCGCCCGGGTCAAAGCTATTTATTTTAGAATTTTTTTTCCCTACCCGAAAGTAATTATCATCATAAACTATTAACGGACCATTAGCTTCAGGCCGGTAACGCAAAGGGCCAGCGCTTGGCATTTCTTTTACTGCAGCCAGTAACCGGAGGGTGGTTTTGATATAGYGTTAATACAACAAAACAAATTATAGATGTGCTCTGTATGCCGTGTATTTCTCTTGGCAAAGATGACATCAAATGAAAACTCCAAGAAAAGAATGGCAGCATTAAGATAAAAATAAGAAGAAAAATGGGACTTTTAGAGAGAGATTTTATTTCTAAGGATGAAACAAAATGATTAACAGGCTTAAAGTTTGCAAATGTGCCCCCCTCTTCAAAGGCTGATGTGACGCATCCCACTAAAATGGGGCCCCCTCTACTCTCTTTCTGAGCCTCCCTGATGCAACACTTTCATCTTCTTGCTTCGAAACACGCACCATCAGATGYCTTTGAAGTGGATGCTCACATACCTGCGTGTCCCTGGAACTCTGTATGCGAGAGCAGGCCCCTCTTGTTACAGCGTGTCAGAAGGGATTGAAAATGGGTGCTGTTCTTTTACACATTCTGGTGTTGTAAAAAGACAAAACTTTCTGACTCTTAATGCACTTTAATGGACTCRGCGTCGGGGCATATATTATAAAAAAAATATGAATTTCTAACACCAGAGTAGTGCTGTATTGAGACCACCTGCAAAAAATGTCCACCTAACCAAGTTTTAAAATCTTATATCCAGCCAAAAAGTCTTTTTGATCTTGTTTTGAGACTGATTTACTAAACAAGAACTGATTGTGTAAGAATAATATATTCTTGTTTTCAGAATGTGTAAGATTATTTGTCTTGTTAGTCTGAAAATTTGACTCAAATTCAGTCAAAATTTTCTGCCAATGGAGTAAGAAATTTTTACTTGGTAAAATTCTTGAAATATTTGATTTGACCCAATTTTTTTTCTTATTTCAAGAATCTTACCAAGTAAAAATATCTTAATCAATTGGCAGAAATTTTTGACTGAATTTGTCAAATTTTCAGGTTAACAAGACAAATAATCTTACACATTCTGAAAACAAGATTATTATTCTTACACAATCAGTTCTTGTTTAGTAAATCAGTCTCAAAACAAGCTCAAAAATACTTTTTTTTTGGCTGGATATAAGATTTTAAAACTTGGTAAGATGGACAGTTTTTGCAGTGTAACCCTAGTACAAGTCAAAACCAAGACCAGAATGTATCGAGACCGAGASTAGACATCAAAAAGTGGTCTTCAAACCGGTCTTAAGACGAACACTGGTCACAACATTGCACCAGAACTGTGTATTTGAACTGAAAGTCTGTGGAAAACCTTTGTTGCCTCTCATTGAAAGCGAAAGTGCAACACTTGATGAAGGTGTTGTTAAGCTTTGACTAAAATGTCTTTAATACCATCCCTTCTCATTATAATCTTTAATGTGCACTTCTWTCAGGATTCTAACAAAATAAAACCTTTCTTCTCCCCTGTAGGCCAACCTGCCGCTCCTTCAGMGGGAGCTGCTGCACTGTGCCAGACTAGCCAAGCAGAACCCTGCTCAGTACCTGGCCCAACACGAGCAACTACTTCTGGACACCAGCACCACGTCCCCGGTGGACTCCTCAGAACTCCTGCTGGACGTCAACGAGAACGGCAAGAGAAGAACGCCGGACAGGTGGGTGGATCTGAAAAACCAGAACATCGATCAGGGCGGTTTGGGTTTTGGGTGAAACCACTGGATTAGGATTTAGAGTTTTTAAATGGAGCTTTCCTTCTTCATTTGAGCTGATGCATAAATCCCTTTGAGGATGTCTGCATCCCCATGAGCACAAGCTGAGCCAGCTGAAAATAATGGTATTTATGTATGTTTGTAAATGCTCCCCCAGATCTCATGATCTGCTCTGTTGGACGTCCAAGCTCTTGGCTACTTCTCCAAATGGATCATAACTGAGGAGAAAGCATGGGAATGGACCCAAATTCATATATTGAAAATAGAAAAACAAAGCAACTGTGTAAGAACCTCTTAATTAAATGAAGATTTTAGTAATTCAATAAATACCTGACTCCAGAATCCTTACAAATCCACAGCCCCATGGTTATTGCTTTTATCACTATTAAGCATTTTTCAAGTTTTTAGACAGATGTTTGAACAAAAAAAAGTGTTTTGTGGTGCMTTTTTTTTCTCGGTGCTACAAGTACAATGCAAGCATTGTACTTTAGACTGAAGTCCCAGCGGTTTAAATTTTTTAACACAGGCGAGGGAAAGAAAAGTGAACATATTATATTTGCTGAGGGCCAAAACTGCTGAATGTGTTATTAATAATTCTCACCCCTCGTTTCCCCCAACCATGGGATGGCGAGACATTTTTTTCTTTTTTTCTTTTTTTTTTTTCTTTTTTTTGTAATACCTGCATATTTGCAGGCTGCCTGGTGCACAGGGGAGTGAGCTGAGGAGTAAAGGTGCGTTTGTAGATACGGGAAGAGAGTGAGGAAGTAAAGAGGCATCTGTATTCAGCGAGAAAACAGTCTCTCTGTGTGTGAATGTGTGTGTGTATGTGTGTGTGTGTGTGTGTGTGTGTGAGGTTCTCTATTCAACGTGAAAGTGTGAGTCCGCTTCCTAATTGTGTGTGTGTGTGTGTGTGTGTGTGTGTGTGTGTGTGTGTGTG